CCGTAATTGGATCCTACAGGATCTATAATTAGCGTTTTCTCACAGCCGTTGGGCCAGGAAGCCGCTGCAGCCAGCTGTTACCGGCAAATTTACTGCTTAATTAATCTCGAAATGACCTTGCGGGTATTTACTGTTCCTTGTAATTGTTTTCTCCTCCGTTCACATTTTAATATAGAAAAAAAAATTTCACGCCATGCCTCCTCGGATTTCCCCCCCCCCCCCCCCAAGAAAACAACAACAACAACAACGCGAGCACGCACACGACCCTGGGGCTTAATCTGGAAGCGAGCAGAGTCGGCCGGAGGGTAGACACGGATCGTTTAATCCTTAAACGCCCAAACAAGGGCACCTGGCCACGCCGAAACACCTTTAATCCGTCAACACCCGCGGGTAGCCGATTTTGCTCGTCGTGCCGCGGAGATGAGCCGACGTCTTAATCCTCACCGGCCTCTCCAGTGCTCGCAGCCCACAGAAAAAAAAACGTGGGGGAAGGAGGTGGGGGGGGGGCACATGTCCGCCCCCGTTGTCCCGTAGTACCCTGCCCCCCCACGCCCGCTACGCATCGTTAGAAGCCCCCCCCCACCCCCGTGCAGAGCCGACAAATAGCGCACGCCGTGTCGATTGTTGTTGTTTTATCCCAGTTGTGCTCTCTCTCTCTCGTCCCTCGGGTTTATGGGGGTGAAGTCGACAGTGGGCGGCTGTTATGCTGGCTCATCGCGTGGCTCCGTGGGGACAAAGTGCCGCGGGGAGGAAAAGAGCCCAGGCCAGAGTTCAAAAAGAGCAACGTCTCTCAACGCCCACGTGTGCCGCTGGATGGGAGGTGGTGGGCGGGGGCTTGGTGACGCCATCGGCATCATTGGTCGCGTCACGCCGGGCGCTGCTCGGAGAGGGGTTTCCGGCCTTCGGAGGACAAGGATGTGTGGGGCGGCCGCCATTTTTAAAGCGAGCAGAGTAGTTCGATTGCAACGTTTTGCGGATGAATCGACACAATCGAATGAATTAATGAGCGAGCAGTACACGAATGAACCAGCGAGTCAATGAATGAACGAGCGAGTTAGTGAATGAATCAACGAGCGAGCGAGCGACTGAACGGTCGAGCGAGCGCTAAAGGGGTTGACATCACTATTAGGCGATGCTTCACAAAATAATAGCATGCGACTCGCGCGTAAATAAATGCGCTAGCTTAGCGGGGGGGTACTGTGGTTGTTGGTATGCGGTGGGGGATGCGGGGGGTGGGCGGGAACGTGGGGGGGGGGGGGCACAGGGTAGAGAGGAAGGGGAGGGGGGGTCTGCAAGGTGCTGCATTTAGAAAAGAACATCTCCGTTTCCATGACAACGCGCCTACTGCCAGCCACGTGACGCGTGCCGCCACGCGCAGCCATCTGCGGGGGGCCCCCTGGGAGCCTGCCGAGTCATCGCGAGCTCGCCAGATAAAATATTCATGCCCCTACTCTAGTTTTCCCGTATTTCATTTCACGTTATCGCTTTCGACTAACGTTTATCTTGCTTCTCCCCCCGCCCCCCCCACTAGGTGTGGCCTCCCACCACCAAATACGAGGGACAGCTGCGCCACTGTGACCTTCGGCCCCCTGCTGACCCCCGCCCCCCCCGCTGGTAGGGTCACAGCAAAGTAGCGACGGATACGTGATTGTGAGATCCACCAAATCACGCCGGTGCTGTGTCGGGGAGCGCGGGGGGAGGTAAGGGGGGGGGGGGGAGCTGAGCACCTCCCCCCCTACACGTCCACCTCCCCCACATCACCCGCCACATCAATTCCTATAGTCGTCAAAAAATGTTGGTTACGAAAATTAGTATAATTAAGCCATGGGCGTAGCAGCCGTTCTGCGTAGGCACGGGGGGTGAGCGCCAGAGCAGAACGCTCGACAGACAACAGCGGATCGTCGTATCGTTAGTCATTCCGTTTGGCATGTCTTATTTATAAAAAAAGTTTGTTTAACGTTTACTGATGTCGTGCCCCCTTCACACCCGACCCCCCCTCCTTCCCGCTGAGCTTTTGAATACCCACCACGGCGGTTCGGTTTCTTCGCTTGAAACGACGAGGGTCGCTCGGGGGCCCGCCGAAAATAAGGACGACGATCACGGTGACGTGTGACCTGTGACCTGCGACCCGTCCGGGGGCCGCGCACCGCAGCGATCGATTACGCACGCGAGAATCAATCGTCGCCTTTTGCTTTCCGTTAGATGCCTTTCCCTTCTTTCTCTCTTTCTTTCAGCGGCCAACGCCGCGACAAATTCCGATCGCGGCAGGACAATCAAGGGACTCGCAGGGCAAACGAGCAGGCCGAGGCCGCTGACGCCTCGAGAGGAAATGTCAAGCGGCAAAAGAGTCGTGGTTGCCGGACGACTCTCTTCCAGTGTCGCGTCCCCCCCTCCCCCCTCCACAAGTTTATTTCAGTTCCTCTTCGAATTGACGTGGGCCCTGTGGCATTTCGCTGCACAGCGCGCGATGAACACGAGACAAAGCAGAGAGTACGCAAATAAACAATCGGACGATAATTCGACGACGATTCCCCGGTGACTGTTTGGGTTTTGCGAACCTGTGATGCTCGCATCGCACCGACCGCTGCTCGAGCCGTGGACGCGACCACCCCCCCCCCACCCCCCACCCCCCCCCCCCAACCCGTAGTCACTTGGGACGCTGTCAATCATCCACCGAGGTTCATAAACGTTAGGCTCAAAGGGCTCTCGCTTACCTGGTGGAAAATAACGGGTTCGATTTGCCTGGTGTGGGGGCTGGGGGGGGGGGGTGGGTAGGGGGGGGGGGTGGCAGTGGGGGGGGGGGGATGGATGGGGGTGGGTGGTGGGAGGTCACGCAATGGTGGGGTAAATCGTGGGTATACGCCTTACTCTTCCAAGACGTCTGACTGGCATAGAAGAGTGGATCTAAACACCCTTTACGCAGGGGGAGGGAGGGGGGGAAGGGAGAAGGGGGAGGGGGGCTGTCTTGAAATTAATTTATTTATAACTGCTTTTTGCATTTATCCATTAAAGAGTTATTTTTTCGGTTAGATCTCGTAAATATAAAAGTGTCGTAGACCTGCCACCACCCGACACAGACAACTAGTAAGGGTTGTCACGTAAACAGAACATTTATATATTTACGCGATCCAACCCCCCAAAAAAACCCCCTCTATTATGGATGATATTGGTCGCGAAAGCCTGCTCAGTGTTAAACTCAACAAACCGATATTTTGCGTTCAGTTTGTTGTCGCTCACCGCAACGCAAGGCGTGAAAGACGTTCACAACGCGCGCACAGTACATGAAGCTCGCTCCAGTTGGAGGCCCCTTCGGGCAGCAGTGTCGCGAGCGAGCGCTTGCAGGTTCTGCGCCTGTACCTTTACCGATTCAACCAACTCCCCGGAGACGACGCAAAGAGGGGGGGGAGGGGAGGGGTGCTTGCGGCGTCGTGCGGAGGACGTCCCGGAGATTGGAGGGAGGCAGAGGCGACGACGAGAGAATCCACCCCATACCGAACGGCAAAACAAAGCCCAGCACGATGCTCGCGTCGATAATAAAGGGGGACGGGGGGGGGGGAGACGACGGAATTGGTTTCCATTCGTGATCTGCGGAGAAATCTTAAGGAGAGGCCAAATCCGAGAGCGATTGGCGGGAGAGGCCGGGGGGAGGGCAGGGGGGCCGGACTGTGCCGAGTTGCCGTGGCCTGGGGACGGTGGTGATCGCGATGTCTTTCTGAGATTGCTGAGATTAGCCGAAACATCGTTACCCCCCCCCATCATCCCCTCCTCCTCCTTCTTCCTCCTCGCTCCGCTGTTTTTATCGGTGCCGCGCGTTACCCTGGAGTCCCAGCGACAGAGAGCAGCCTTCACCTTCACCAAACCATTCGTCAATAAAATTAATGAATGAGTGAAGAATTAAACAATGTATCTATATGTATGTACGTATGTTGAGCAGCTCCCTATCCACCCAGCGGTGCAACGTCCATAACTCTCAATTTGTACGTACGTGTGTTGTACTTCTTCCGCACCGTACGTAGCCAGCCGTGCTAATCGGAGGCGCGGGGGAAGGACAACAAACTTAACACAACAACAAGCAGTTCTAAACAAACGAGTTTTTATCCTAGAATTACATGGCTATTGGGTGCCACCATCCGCCATGGGAACGTGGAACTTCCGCCATTGCCTCGGCACTGACTATAAGCAGGAGACGACAATGATTTGCCTGAATGGCCACGTGAGAAGGACATCTCCGTCGCTTTTGGATCACATCGTCGTGGGAGGTTCACGATAAATGTGGCACGTTGGGCCACAACGTTGGGCCATAACAATGCCAACCAACAATGCCAACCCATGGTGCCAACGTTGGTTGCGTGTTCGCTGGGCGTTCGTAACAACACAAACCCGCGACCAAACCACTCGGAGAATGCGTCCGGTCTCGCCACATTGCGGACGCAAAGCAGGGGTTGAGCCTGGACAGAGCTTGGATGGGCCACCACCGTGCGTATTGTGTTCAGCAGAGTGCGGCGCATTGTGTGCGTCTATGATGTCGCATCTACGCTTGCACGGTGGGAGGAGATGGGATTGCAACAGAGAAAACTCACCTTGCAGACAGGGAGATAACATTCAAAAACCCCGCACGGATGGACTCACGAAATCCACCGTTTGTACTGCCATCAGCAGGCGGTCTACACCAACCCCCCCTCCTCCCTGCCGGACGTGGGCATCAGTTAGTCTGTGGGTCCATGGATCCATGAGTCGATGGGTCTGTGGGTCCGTGTGTCTGTGGGTCCCTGCGTCCGTGGGTCCATGAGTCGATGGACCTGTGGGTCCGTGCGTCTGTGGGTCCCTGCATCCGTGGGTCCATGAGTCCATGGGTCTGTGGGTCCGTGTGTCTGTGGGTCCCTGCATCCGTGGGTCCATGAGTCCATGGGTCTGTGGGTCCGTGTGTCTGTGGGTCCATGCGTCCATGAGTCCGTGAGTCCGTGCGCACGCGTGGACGTAAGGAACAGCGCGACACTCACCGCGCAGTACTCTCAGCTTGACGCTCTTCGAGATCTGGCCGAGGACGTTGGAGGCGACGCACTCGTACTCGGCTTCGTCACGCGCCGGCCGCAGCGGCTGGATGCGCAGCACTGAGCTCGCTCCATTGTCGTAGTCGATGATCTGTGCATGCGGGGGTGGGGGCGGGGCACGGAGGAAGGAGGTGGGGGGCCGTGTCAAGACCGAAGACACGCCGCGCGTCGATCGCCTGCGATCGAACCTTTCACAAAAAAAACGACGCGTCGTTGATGTTCAGAAGGTGACGATTATCACGAGAGCGGGTGGGCGGGCGCCGTCGCCACGTTGTTTGGACCCCGCCGGCCAGGCGGGAGCTACCGGAGGTCACGCACCTCGAACCTCTGGGAGCTCAGCTTCTTGCCCTTCTTGGCCCAGGTGATGTTGGGCTTGGGGTCGCCGGTGGCCCGGCACACGAAGGACGCCACGCCGCCCGACACCCCGACCTGGCTTTCAGGCGGGTGGGTGAACCGCGGTGGCGCTGCAGGAGTTGGGGGGGGGGGGGGGCGGGGGGGGGGAGGCACAAAGATGCGGGCATCAGCACGGTGCCCGGGACGGCCGGCGCAAGCGACGTACGTTTCCGGAGTTGCTCGCCGGCAGGGCCGGTCACTCGGGGTGAGCGCGTCACTCGCGGGGCGACTCACTCGCGGTGTCAATCACTGACAGGGCTGCAGACAGATGCAGCGAGCCACAACGCTAGACGCTGGCAGTGCCAGTCACTGCTTTAGTCATTTACAGCACCGGCCACACTCCGCATTACACACGGCAATAAAGACAAGATCCCCATCTAGGCTTGTAGACTGTTGGGTGAGAATGCTGTGAATGAGCAGCTATCAAGGCCAGCACGGTGAATGAGACAGTGGTGTGGCCAGCATCATACCAGGCCGCCTTTGTCTTCCCAGTGCTGCTGTTTACACACCTAACCAAGTACTCATTTTTATATCGATCTAGTAGAGGAGGTCCAGGATCGGTTCGCTCCAGGTACTCATTTGAGGCCGAGTCGACACAGGGGAGGCCCGGGACCGGTTCAGATAATCATCACTGCTGTTGGCCGTGAGCGGGAATTTAACTTGGCTCGTAGGTTCTAGCACAACGGCGCTAGCCGCTGCACCAACGCTCACACTATTCAGACAGCATGCGCAGCACCGTGCACCCTCTCTCCTAATCACCAACACGTTCATCCATTTACTTCAAACAATTTGCGTTACTTTACGGGCAAAGCACAAATGACTGCAGAAAGGTCAGCCACTCTGTTACTGTGCCACCGAAAAGCTGATTATTCAGAGATACACTGAATATTAAGCTCTGCTGAAAGTAAAGACACCAGCCACAGTTGTGCAATGGTGGCCATGCAACCCACACTGTGGACCGCACAGTAAACCCATAGGGAATCACGGAGATATGTAGAGACTCATAGAGACCCATAGAGATATATAAAAACACAAGCCAGAGTAGTGTTATTGTGGCCATGCCACCCACACTATGGACCGCACAGTAAACCCATAGGGAATCACAGAGATACATAGAGACTCATAGAGACCCATAGCGATATATTAAAAACACAAGCCACAGTAGTGTTATTGTGGCCATGCCACCCACACTATGGACCGCACAGTAAACCCATAGGGAATCACAGAGATACATAGAGACTCATAGCGATATATTAAAAACACAAGCCACAGTAGCGTTATTGTGGCCATGCCACCCACACTATGGACCGCACAGTAAACCCATAGGGAATCACAGAGATACGTAGAGACTCATAGAGACCCATAGAGATATATTGAAAACACAAGCCACAGTGATGTTATTGTGGCCATGCCACCCACACTATGGACCGCACAGTAAACCCATAGGGAATCACAGAGATACGTAGAGACTCATAGAGGCCCATAGAGATATATTAAAAACACAAGCCACAGTAGTGTTATTGTGGCCATGCCACCCACACTATGGACCGCACAGTAAACCCATAGGGAATCACAGAGATACGTAGAGACTCATAGAGACCCATAGAGATATATTAAAAACACAAGCCACAGTAGTGTTATTGTGGCCATGCCACCCACACTATGGACCGCACAGTAAACCCATAGGGAATCACAGAGATACGTAGAGACTCATAGAGACCCATAGAGATATATTGAAAACACAAGCCACAGTGATGTTATTGTGGCCATGCCACCCACACTATGGACCGCACAGTAAACCCATAGGGAATCACAGAGATACGTAGAGACTCATAGAGACCCATAGAGATATATTAAAAACACAAGCCACAGTAGTGTTATTGTGGCCATGCCACCCACACTATGGACCGCACAGTAAACCCATAGGGAATCACAGAGATACGTAGAGACTCATAGAGACCCATAGAGATATATTAAAAACACAAGCCACAGTAGTGTTATGGTGGCCATGCAACCCACACTGTGGACCGCACAGTAAACCCATAGGGAATCACAGAGATACGTAGAGACTCATAGAGACCCATAGCGATATATTAAAAACACAAGCCACAGTAGTGTTATTGTGGCCATGCCACCCACACTATGGACCGCACAGTAAACCCATAGGGAATCACAGAGATACGTAGAGACTCATAGAGACCCATAGAGATATATTAAAAACACAAGCCACAGTAGTGTTATTGTGGCCATGCCACCCACACTATGGACCGCACAGTAAACCCATAGGGAATCACAGAGATACGTAGAGACTCATAGAGACCCATAGAGATATATTGAAAACACAAGCCACAGTGATGTTATTGTGGCCATGCCACCCACACTATGGACCGCACAGTAAACCCATAGGGAATCACAGAGATACGTAGAGACTCATAGAGACCCATAGCGATATATTAAAAACACAAGCCACAGTAGTGTTATTGTGGCCATGCCACCCACACTATGGACCGCACAGTAAACCCATAGGGAATCACAGAGATACGTAGAGACTCATAGAGACCCATAGAGATATATTAAAAACACAAGCCACAGTAGTGTTATTGTGGCCATGCCACCCACACTATGGACTGCACAGTAAACCCATAGGGAATCACAGAGATACGTAGAGACTCATAGAGACCCATAGAGATATATTAAAAACACAAGCCACAGTAGTGTTATTGTGGCCATGCCACCCACACTATGGACCGTACAGTAAACCCATAGGGAATCACAGAGATACGTAGAGACTCATAGAGACCCATAGAGATATATTAAAAACACAAGCCACAGTGGTGTTATTGTGGCCATGCCACCCACACTATGGACCGCACAGTAAACCCATAGGGAATCACAGAGATACGTAGAGACTCATAGAGACCCATAGAGATATATTGAAAACACAAGCCACAGTGATGTTATTGTGGCCATGCCACCCACACTATGGACCGCACAGTAAACCCATAGGGAATCACAGAGATACGTAGAGACTCATAGAGACCCATAGAGATATATTAAAAACACAAGCCACAGTAGTGTTATTGTGGCCATGCCACCCACACTATGGACCGCACAGTAAACCCATAGGGAATCACAGAGATACGTAGAGACTCATAGAGACCCATAGAGATATATTAAAAACACAAGCCACAGTAGTGTTATTGTGGCCATGCCACCCACACTATGGACTGCACAGTAAACCCATAGGGAATCACAGAGATACGTAGAGACTCATAGAGACCCATAGAGATATATTAAAAACACAAGCCACAGTAGTGTTATTGTGGCCATGCCACCCACACTATGGACCGTACAGTAAACCCATAGGGAATCACAGAGATACGTAGAGACTCATAGAGACCCATAGAGATATATTAAAAACACAAGCCACAGTGGTGTTATTGTGGCCATGCCACCCACACTATGGACCGCACAGTAAACCCATAGGGAATCACAGAGATACGTAGAGACTCATAGAGACCCATAGAGATATATTGAAAACACAAGCCACAGTGATGTTATTGTGGCCATGCCACCCACACTACGGGCCGCACAGTAACCCCACTGCGGTCTGCGCTCCTTCAACGGAGCAGGAGGAGGAACAGCAGCGCCACACGAACTCTCTCTCTGTCGAAGCCCTCTCGTCGTGGCCAGCAGCACCTCGACATTTTACATCTAGATCCTGGACATCGCTGCTGCTACTGGTGATGTTTTTTTCAAAATAAAAATAAATCACACGCCTCTGCTCGTTCTGAAGAAGAAGATACAGGGCATTTTTTTCCGATGCACCTGGACATTAACAGAAAAACTTGCATGTCTGTGTCAACCATCCCACCAAGTGAGCGTTCCTGTCAACAAGTGCTACCACCACTCCTTCTCCACCCACAATTTCACCAACACGCGTTAACCAGCGTGGTGAAACGTGGCCCAAACAACCCCCCACGACTACTGACACGGTGTGCGCAGAGGCCTTAATCATCCAGCAGTGGACTGACGAAAGGGGTTGTAAAGGATTACAACTTCAGTAAATTGCGAATTTAGCAGGCACGTAACGAACAGTATCAATTCTCCGGTTTTCATTCTGACGCTCAAGATGCTACAAATATATTACAACGTATGCAAATGATATGCAAACGAGATTATTATATCACGTGTTGGACTAAAGGTGTAAAATGAGACTACAAATGAGGCGGAGAAAAAAAAAACCTCGACAAAGATATTTTATTCTGTGAATCTAGAAAGGGACCTCAAATCAGGATAATTGAATGACTTCAGGGGCCAGGGGAGCGGGAGTGAAGTGCTTAATTAGGGCTCCACGGTAGCGAGATGTTAACTACCTCGCCTGGTGTACAGGAGGGTCGTGGGTTCGATCCCGACCCTGACGGGATGCCTGTATATTTAGAGTTTGCATGTTCTCACCCGTTTTCCCCTCCGCATTTAGAAACACGCGTTTAAGAGTATTTAGCTGCAATGCATTTCCACATGGCGAGTCACTTCAATGCGCTATCGTTTGTGATGGGCGGGGAGGCCCTCATCCAGCAGTGGACTTACAGAAAGGTCGGGCGCGTTATGGTTTTCCCGCAAAACCTTTATCTCTAACCCCACCGGCCGTGTAGAAGACTCGCCTTTGCGAAGTTTCGCAAAACCCGCTGACCCGCCCATACTAGACATCTGTGTAAAAAAGAGCTTCATAGCTCATCGGATTTCCCTCCTGCAGTCTCAATAAAGATTCCGATTCTTCCGGTCTGCCCATAAAAAACACGCGCACAAGGCCACACCCGGTCCAGGACGAGTGCGTTACCGGGCGCGGACATCGGATGCGCACCCCTTATCTTTTACGACGAGGTGGACTAAATGATTATATTTTTTAAACATGAAAGACGTGGGGGGGGGGGGGGGGGTGCGGGGGGTATACGAACGATTGGGAGCAGATGGGCCGAAGCATGCTCCCAATTATTTCATATTACTGGCTTAGTCACGCCCGTATGCCGGCACCACCGTCTGCTGCCAGTACTCTAATCCCTGCCGCGAA